TCTAATTGGATAGTCTATTGAATGCCTGGCTGTGAGTAGTGATTAGCGAAGTGTAGGTCAAGAATTGTTCAACATAAAGTTAATGGGTTTGAATATTCCAGTGCCTGATGATTATTGAAGACATAATTTGAAGAGTTGGTGGCTTGTGTGACCAGAATCAAGTGAATAACAGCCAAGGAGGAAGAGGACCATGTGGTCTTCCCTGACAGGGTGACAGGCTGGCCATATTGGAATTAGGGAAGTGCTTGTGTCAGCGATTGTCACAGAGTTTCCAAATGCACAGGACACAAAGACAGCAACTTATTATTTATACTTTGGAACTATCTACCAGCCTGCTTGATGATGCTAATATACTCTACTCATGCACCACACACTTTTTGTCACCTGGTTACACTTGAAACAATTGACCTCATTACGGCGTGACAATAACATGAGAGATGAAGAGTTAACCATGATAGCATCTGCATAAATCTCTACATTTGTAAGGATTTAATAAATAAAGTTTAAGGCTACTTAAAAAAGAATTCAAGAAACAAACATACAAAATGAGAAATGATTTTTGTAACACAATTTAAAAAAATAGTAATTAAACATCTAATTAAATATAATATTTACAAATACCCTTTGTCTATTCAGATGAAACAGTCAATGCACTGACATACATTCTGATCCGGGAACAAAGAAGCTGGCCACAGGCTCAGAGATTCTGTAGAGAAAGGCACACAGATCTGGTCAGTGTGAGGAGCCAGAGGGAGAATGAGAAGATCAAAAATACGGCAAAGGGCAATGAAGTATGGATCGGCCTCTACAGGGGGAACTGGAAATGGTCAGACCAGGAGAGCTTTTCATTCCAGAACTGGAACGCAGGGGAACCAAACAACTTTGATGGAATTCAGAGCTGTGGTGCTGTGTACTTACAGGACAGTAAAAGGGGAAAATGGGATGATAGTACTTGCACTTACCGTGCTCCTTTCATCTGCTATGATGGTGAGTTCACAGTTCTTTTGAAATAATTACGGAGATTCAATTCACATGCTAACATAATTACAATTCTCATCTAACAATAAATCATTTCATTTAATCTCCCCACATACCAACCCACCGCAACTCATCAATCACCAGCTCATGACTCATTTGCTTACTAACATACTTCACCTTCTCACTCACCAACACACCCCTCCTCCTCACACATAAACACACCCCACCTCCTGACTCACCAACACGCCTCACCTCACCTCATCACTCACCAACACATCTCACCCTCTCTGACACCAACACACCCCTCATTGTCACACTCCAACACACCTCACCTCCTTACACTCCAACACACCTTCCCTCCTCACACACCAACACAACTCACCTCCTTACACACCATCACACCTCACCTCCTCTGACACCAACACACCTCTCATCCTCACACGCCAACACACCTCACCTCACTTCATCACTCACTAACACATCTCACACATCTCACCTCCTCTGACACCAACACACCTCACCTCATCACTAATTAACAAACCTCACCTCCTCACACACCAACACACCTCGGTCACACAGCAATTTAAACTTATTTCACAACCCATATATCTCACTGCTCACCATTGCTGTGGCAGCTTCTTATCTCAAAATGTTACTCATTCTTCTTTTGTCATCTTTCAGTGGTAAAGAGTTAATGGCAGTTCTGTTTCTGCTTGTAAATACAGATCTTTACAGAGTGAGGCTGGTGGATGGTAGTAATCCCTGCTCAGGGCGTGTTGAGGTCATGTCTGATCTGACCTGGGGCACAGTGTGTGAGAATGACTTTGACTGGAAGGATGCAGAGGTCATCTGTAGACAAGAGAATTGTGGGATTCCCAAAGCTG